ATGAAACCTGAAAATGCCATGAGAGTTTTCCTCTGCATGTATTATTTTTGTTTTCTTGGTTATAAATACTGTTTACTGAGCCAAGGATTGGATTGTGCTTACGCCTCCCTTCTTGTATATTTTTTCTAACCTTGGAATGGATAATTGCTTCATTTGTTGTTACTTTTTCTCTGCGTTTATCTGTTCTTCTCAGACTCCAGCAGACCCTCGATGCCTCCTAATTCTATTCTTTTTTTTTTTTTTTTTGCTAAGGCAAACATGAACAGCTTTGTTGATTTTTCACAAGGTTTGACTGTTCAGCAAAATAAAAAGCATGTTACCAAATGTAATGAACTCATGCGGAGTCGCACACAATAAGCGTGAGACTGCTGATCAGTTTCCATCCCTGTGAGGATTAAAACCTGTCCAGTAAAGGTCAAAGCAGCTGCTCGTTTTAAAGTCAGTCATAAACAGTTCCAGGGACTTCTGGAGTGTTCTGAAAAGTTCCTCATATTTTTCTTTCTGTCAGTTCTGATGCATGTATCTTTATGTGTAGTGTAAAGCCTATAGTTAGGATTTATTTTATCATCAGGATATAGTTTAACTCCTTTTTCTGTTATTTATTATCTTTAAGTTCCCTGATGATTTGAAGAGTCATCTTAGTCATTTCCACATAACCAGATTGTGTTTCTATGTTTTAAATCCTATTATGTATGCTTTCCAGGACAATATATTTCAAAAAGAAAAAAAGCTTATAGCTTTTTAGTCTGTGTCACACTTTGATAATGCTAGGGTTTCGAAATCTCCCAGGACTCCAGGGCTGAAACAGGCTGGAAACTGAGAGGTACCTAGCTCGGGGAGGTATCAAGGAAAACTTTTTTTTTTTAGATTTATTTATTCATTTGAAAGGCAGTGTTACGGAGAGAATTAAGAATCAAAGAGATTTTCTGTCCACTGATTCACTTCATAGTTGTTGACTGCAACAGCTGGGACTGGACCAGCCTGAGGCCGGCAGCCAATGGCTTCCTCTGGGGTCTCCCACACGAGTGCAGGGGCCCAAGGACTTGGGTCATGTTCCAGTGCTTTCCCAGGCACATGTTATAGAAAGCTGGAGTGTAAGTAGGGTAGCCGGGACATGAAACATTGCTGAGATGAGATGCTTGCATCGGAGGCAGCACCTTAACCACTATACCACTATGCCTACCCTGGGAACTTGGTTCTGAACACAGATCAGTGTGAGATCTATCTGCACTGGACCCTTAGAGCCACTTTCCTGGGGGTCTGAGGTATGAAGCAGCATAGGTGGCAGCCCGGAAAAGGGCTTAGTGGACAGGTGCAGTCAGCCTTCGTCTGGAGGTTATGCAATAGTGAAATGCCTGCTTCCAAGTACTGTATGTACATAACTAAGTTACCTGTTAAACTCAGGCGCCAAGACAGGGAGTTTGGGCACCCCTTTCTTTTCCATCTAGCTGTGTTCTCTCTCTCTCTCTCTCTCTCTCTCTCTCTCTCTCTCCCCCGAGCAGATTTGACACAGAGAGAGGGCCTCCTATCTGTTGGTTCACTCCCCAAAAGACCACAGTGGCTAGAGCTGAATTGATCCGATACTGGGAGCCAGGAGGTTTCCTTGGGTCTCCCACCTGAGTACAGGCCAAAAGAAGAGAGCTGGACCGGAAGTGGAACAGTCTGAACATGAACAGGCACCCGCAGGGGGATTGGCGTTGAAGGGTGGAGTACTAGCTTGCTGTGCCACTGCTCCGGCCTCTGCAGCTGCTTTGAGTTCTTCCCTTCTCCTCAGGAGAGCCCTCTGCGGAATCTTGGAGGATGGCAAACAGGAAGAGAACCTTCTGAAAATGGGGAGGGAAGGAACAATGGGAACAGCCGCAAGGGCTTCTGTGTACTTTTTCTTTCTTTCTTTTTTAAGATTTATTTTTGTTGGAAAGGCAGATTTACAGAGAGAAGGGGATGTAGAGAGAAAGATCCTTCACCTGCAGGTTCACTCCCCACGTGACTGCAACTGCCGGAGCTGAGCCAATTGAAGCCAGAAACCAGGAACCAGGAACTTCTTTCGGGTCTTCCTCATGGGTGCAGGGTCCCAAAGGCTTTGGGTCATCCCTCACTGCTTTCCCAGTCCTCAAGCAGGGAGCTGGATGGGCAGTGGAACAACTGGGACATAAACCAGCGCTCATGTGGAATTCTGGCAGATGCAAGCGAGGACTTTAGCCACTAGGCTATAGTGCTGGACCCCACTTCTGTGTACTGTGAAGTACACCACTTTTATTGTCTTTAGAAAGAGACATTCAATGCTGGAAACATCTTGTACTCTCATGGCTTTTGTTTATTTTCTTAACTAGAATTACTGCATTTTTTGTAGAATTTCTGTTCGTTGTAGGGCAGATTTTGGATAGAAATGAAAGAATTTGCCAGGTAAGCTTTTATAGTCTTAAAAGCAAAATCTTTATCACCCAGCTCTGTGTGTGACGGCCGCAGTACGGTGTCTGGAGGGGCCTGTGCTCTCCTCTCTGCTATGTGATAGTTCTCAGTTCTTGTAGCAAAGTGTTGATAAGATTGGAGAGTTGTACACAACTTTATCATAAGCCGGGCTGGATCAGAGGAAGCCAGGAGAGAGAGCTGAAGAGTGAGATAAGTTTCCGTGTGACCGTGAGTTGTCTTCGTCTTCAGTTTTGCTTTCGCCTTAGGTCTTGTTTGCTCAGAGTGACAAAGCTGTCTGCTCCCTGTGCAGCGGACAGGAAGCTTCAGACATGCGGCCCAGGGAGTGGGCTTCATGGCTGATGAGGGGAGTGCTGCCTTTATGCACAGTGAATGGGGAAATGCAGTGCTGTCCCAACAGCCCCAAGTCCTTGCGAGAGCCAAGCATGTGGTGGGTGGGTTTGGGGTGTATCTTAGGGTTTTTATATGAAGGAACTCTTCATTTTATATTTTACATACACATTATGGCTTTCGAAATAAGGATTGCAGTGTGACATAAATAAAAATGATCTGTTACCTTGGTTTAAGCTGAGCTGCTCTCTGTGGCATTAGCATGCTGTGTGGGTGCCGGTTCGAGTCCCGGCTGCTCCATTTCCTATCCAGCTCCCTGCTGGATGGCCTGTCTGTGGTCTGGGAAAGCAACAGAGGATAACCCAAAGCCTTAGGACTCTGGCCTCATGTGGCCGACTCAGAAGCAGCTACTGGCTCCTGGCTTCAGATCAGCTCAGCTCTGGCCGTTGCGGCCATTTGGGGAGTGAACCAGCGATGAGAGATCTCTGTCTTTCTCTCCGTGCAACTCTGCCTTTCAAATAAAAATAAATTGAAAAATATAATTAAGAACAATGTAGAATTAGTAGATCTGGGTTCTTAGTCTGATCTGCCAATGAAACTGTTTTTTTAAAGATTTATTTTATTTTTATTGGAAAGGCGGATATACAGAGAGGAGAGACAGAAAGGAAGATCTTCCGTCTGATGATTCACTCCCCAAGTGAGTGCAACAGCCGATGCTATGCCGATCCGAAGCCAGGAGCCTCTTCCGGGTCTCCCACACGGGTGCAGGGTCCCAAAGCTTTGGGCCTTCCTCGACTGCTTTCCCAGGCCACAGGCAGGGAGCTGGAAGGGAAGCGGGGCTGCCGGGATTAGAACTGGCACCCATATGGGATCCCGGGTGTGCAAGGCGAGGACCTTAACCACTGCGCCATTGCGCCGGGCCCGAAACTTTTTTTTTTTTTTTTGAGTAAGTCATTTATTTATAGTTTTTGGTAAATTTGAATATATCTAATTTGCAATATAATTTTTACTATTATTGAATTACTTTCAGTGATTATAAAACTTATGCTTGAGTCTTTTGATAATGCTGGGTTATGTTAATATGACATTAGGATTGTATTAGGAGGGCCTGGTGGCCAGGCAGCTAAAGTCCTCGCCTTGAACGCACCAGAATCCCATATGGGCGCCGGTTCTAATCCCAGCAGCAGATCCACTTCCCATCCAGCTCCCTGCTTGTGCCCTGGGAAAGCAGTCGAGGACGGCCCAAAGTTTTGGGACCCTGAACCCGTGTGGGAGACCTGGAAGAAGTTCCTGGCTCCAGGCTTCAGCTCGGCATAGCATTGGCTGTTGCGGCCACTTGGGGAGTGAATCATCGGATGGAAGATCTTCCTCTCTGTCTCTCCTCCTCTCTGTATATCTGACTTTCCAATAAATAAATAAATCTTTAAAAAAAATCTCTTGTTTCTTTAAATAAAAAGATTGTATTAGGAATAAAGGCCTAGTTATTTTAATGATAAAATATAATCTAATTATATATATTGTAGGAGGACATTGTGACCCTAGAGGGTCAGCGAGCACAGGATTACAGTTGATTGGATAATATTTGCAGGAGAACAACAGAATGGCTATCTTTTGTATACCTGATTGGATATCATTTGTATGAGAACAGCTGAGTGGACCACATGTGAATGAGAATACTTGGTAGAATATACAAAACAAAAGGAGTTCCAAACAAGAGTATGGAAGCAGTTGATGGGTTTTGTTGCTAAGCTCAAATACCTTCTCTCCTAACCAATATAACCCTACGTGTATAAAGTCTGATGCCCCTGATAATCTTCGGTTTTGACCATCAGTCAGGGTCCACGCGTGTTATTATCGGCTCCGTGCACCAAGTCCATCGCTGCGGGACAGCGACATACATAACAATACATAACAATACATGTCCTTCATTACAGTGACAGGTAACACCTGCTTATATTAAAAAGTGGCCAGGGAAATTTTCTGTGAGTTTCTATTAAGTATATATTTACCTCATTATCACATATAATTTTAGATGTTTTTAAGCAAAATGTAATTGCATGCAGTGAAATGTATGTTTTGCTCTATGTTTTCTATGTTTGCTCTATGTTTTCTAGCTTTATTTCTTTAAGAGTTTTAAGTTGAACTTAAAACTCTTAAAAATGTCACAGTGCTTTGAGAGTAAGTTACATGTCCCTCTTAGTTTACTCTTGTTTCTACCTAGATATGGTTTTTTTTCCCTCCAGAGTGAGAAGCTTTTGTTATATGATACAGTGCAGAGTGAGCTGGAGGAGAAGATCCGAAGGCTGGAAGAGGACAGGCACAGCATCGACATTACCTCAGGTAGGGACCAGGTGGGTCTGGCACACATGATGACACCAAGCTCTTGACGTACTCCACAGCGTGAGCATCTCTTACTGGGAATGCTTGGGGATATTTACTTATAGTTTGGAGATAACTTTGAAAGTCTAAACATAAATCCATTTATGTTTCATATACAACTTCTGTGTAGCGTGAAGTAACTTCCTATGGTATTTCTGATTTGCCTGTGTTGTGACTTTGACCAGTCACATGAAGTAAGGGTGGAATTTTCTGCTTGCATCGTCATGTTAGCACTCAGAAGAAAAGTTTGGGATTTTGGATTTTTGGATGAGCATTGCTCAGCCCGCAGTACTCCATGAGATCCTAGTCTTCCGATGCAGATGTTAGGTATTGTCTGAACAGAGAAGAAGGGGAGGCTGCCGAAAAACTTGATGTGAACCTGCTTGGCTTGAGCTCATGCTTTAGAAAGACAAACGCCTGGAGCTGGTGAACAGAGTGTGGCAGGACTGACGGACAGTGTGAGCAGACAGCAGTGAGGTACTTTCTTCCTGCTGAGCCTTGGGAGGCTCGCGTGGGAGCGGATACAGCCTTTCACTTGGGCTCAGGCCTAGGACAATGAGCACAAGTGATAGGGATGGAGGCTTTTCCTCAGAAAAATAAGAAGGTGCATAAAGTAGGTTGGCGCAATGTGTAATTTGCTTTTTTCCAGGGTTATGATGGAGAGGTTTTCTGCATCCAGCATAAGGCTTAGTAGGTTACCTGAGGTTCTTGCATCTGTTTAATTTTATCTTTTGTAATTTCATTTCCTTGGTGTAGAGGGGTATGGTGGACTCGGATGAGCCGAGGCTTGATGCCGGGGTCCCTGTCCTGGTTACTGGGTGACCAGGGAGAGTTGCTGAGCTTTTCTGAGCTGACCTCCTTGTCAACAAGAAGTAGTCAGAACGTCTACCTTCAAGATAAAGACGAAAATTAGGGGAGACAGTGCATGTAACACATACTTTACAAAGTGTCTGACATGTGCCCATCAGTTATCAGCAAGTGCCACATTGATTTATGATTTTAAGAAGCAGAGAAAAATTTGTAAGTGCTGTATACAGCTGCTCACAAAGTGAAACAGTCTTGTATGTATGCAACGCCATTAGTGAAATTGTGTAGTTTCATACTTGAATAGGTAGCCACTATGATACTGTAGTTTATAGTCTCTTTTCCTCCTTTGTCACCATAAATGTAATGTTTAATTTTTATTTGTCTGCCAGAGCTGTGGAATGATGAGCTGCAGTCAAGAAAGAAGAGGAAGGACCCGTTTAGTCCCGACAAGAAGAAGCCCGTTGTTGTCTCGGATATCCTTTGTCAGGCGCTCTGCTGTGCTTTTCTCCCTTGCCTACGTTTCTACAGTATGTGTACTTTGCCAGCTTTTATTAGTACATTTTGACTTTAAAAAAACGTAGAAGATGACTTACTAAATGGATTGAGGGCAGAAGAAATCATTTACTAGAAGAATGGTGGGGGAGGAGAGGAAATTTACTCTTGATCTCAAGTTTGAGCACTTGAGCCCGCGGTGTGGCTGTCCGCGGGCAGTGAGGATGCCTCGGTTTGATGTCCAGTTCTGTCCTGACTCCAGCTTCCTGCCAGTGTGAGCCTTGGGAGGCAGCAGGGGAGGGCTCAAGTGCTGGACCCGTGGGCTGAGCTCAGGTCGCAGCCCTGGCCGTCTCAGATGCTTGGGGGTAGAGAACCAGTGGATGGAAGCTCTCTACTTTTGTCTCTCTCTCAAGAAAGAACAAAGTATACCTGTGTCTATATGCATTTTCATAAAGTTATAAGGTGTTAGAAGTTAAATGACTGTATAATGACTTAGTTCTCATGTGTACTTCTATTTTAAAGATTTTAATTTTATTTTTATTGGAAAGTCAGATATAAAGAGAGGACGAGAAACAGAGAGAAAGATCTTCTATCCATTGATTCACTCCCCAACTGGCCGCAACGGCCAGAGCTGTGTCAATCTGAAGCCAGGAACACGGAGCCTCTTCCAGATCTCCCACCTGGGTGCAGGGTCCCAAGGCTTTGGGCCGTCCTCTACTGCTTTCCCAGGCCACAAGCAGGGAGCTGGATGGGAAATGAGGCTGCTGGGATTAGAACTGGCACCCATATGGGATCCCAGCGTGTGTATGGTAAGAACTTTAGCCACTAGGCTACCATGCCAGGCCCGCCTGTGTACTTTAAAAACATTTTAATATTTCTGAAATTGGAACATCTTTAAATTAAACTACTGTATGTATTCAATCTCAGCATTCCTTATGGAATGTTCCCCCTTGTCTTTGTCTTTTCCTCTCCACCTTAGAAAGCAAGTATAGTTAAGGATTTCATAGACTTGAGGGAATGTGGTTATGACCTTATAAGTGTACACACACACGATATTTATTCTAATATGAAGAATCATTTGGAATCAGAATACAATATAACAAAGGATTATCTTGCTAAACCCTTGTTTCCTTCTCTGAAAAAATAAATGTTGGAAATATGGTTCAGAGTGTGATATCTTTGCAGCTAAATTGACCTTGACCTTTCAACGCCCATATATAGTGTATATGCTACAAGATCTTGACATTCTGGAAGACTGGACAACAATCAGGAAGGTATGAGGAGAAAGCAGTGCGCAAATGTACATATCTGTCGTCTACTTTCTAGAGTGTAGCTATTCACTGGTACATCAAACTTGATACTTGTTGAATATGCTTTGCTTTTACATTTTCTCGAAGACAGCTAATACTATTACAGATAACAGCAGTCTGTAATGATACTTCATGAATTAGGGACATGCCAGTGGTCTGTATTTTCTTAATGTATGCATGATTACAGAAAAGTGTTTGTTCATTTTGCCCCAAATAATACCACCATTTTTTGCCTAATCCTTAGCTTTGTGGTAGGTCATGGAAAACACTGGATGGATATTTGGTGCAAGAACAAAAATGAGCATTTAATCCCAGTGTTTCTTGTGTTTTGTCACATTTGAGAATTACAGGCTTTTTGTGCTTGGTTGAGAGTTGAGACTCATTTTCCTTATTATATTTTTCCATTTTTATAAGCTTCCTAGCTGAGAGAGTGTTATTTCAGATGTTGATAATACTTCCAGGAGAAATGGTTCTTTTTTATTACATTCTATTTGGCCTTAGACTTTAAAAATTTGTTGAAGCAGCTGGTGGTTAGATTTTACTGTTTTAATATTTGTGCTTATTAGTAGTGTTGTATTTCTTAAATGAATACCAAAATATATTTTCAGTCAAAACTCAATTTGTTTGTATCTTTCTCCCACTTTCTCCGAAGGCAATGGCTACGCTGGGTCCACACAGAGTGAAAACAGAACGTGAGTCTGGGTTGAGGAGGACTGGCCCTGCAGGGTTGATCAGTTGTCTGCATCCTCAGGCGTTCCTGTGAGGGTTTTCTTTCGTCTTTAATCACTCTGCCTGAAATGAGCAGGAATTCCTCTGACGACTTTTGTGTGAAAGTTTTAAAACTTTTGAATATAGAATATTTCTTCTTTTGGTGTTCAGCTATACTGTTATTAGCCGTATCAGGTCAGAAATCCAATATTCAGTCTTCATTGAATTTTTTGGGCCCGGTAATTCTTTTTTTTTTTTTTTTTAATCTTAGGAGGTTTATTCCAGCGGGGCAGGGAAAGGGGAAGTGGGGGGAGGGAGGAGAGGCTGGAAGGAGGAGAGAGAGTTAGAGAAGAGCAAAGAAGAGCGAGCCTGGTGATTCTTTAGGGGGTGATATTTGGAATTCCTAGCTGGGCTCCTGGCAGGTGTGAACCTGCTGAAATTATGCAGTTTCTTCAGGTTGCATATTTTCTGAATTCATCCATTACCAAGATTTACATATTCCAGTCGACTTTAGTAAATTTGACACCGAGTTATACTTTTTTGATTTTTTTTCCTCATTCTGAAAAGCTGTTTTGTTACAAAACATCACAATGTACAACAAAGCACAGGCATAGAAAACCAAGACTCATATCTATGAAGAAAAGAAGTAGCAAGTTAAATTAACAAGATATTTAAAAAGTGATGGAGGAGGGAGAGGAATCAGGTGGGGACAGATAAAAGATAATTTTAACAATAAGCTTGCCAGCTTAACTAGCATTTGTCTTTTGTTTGAGATCTAGCTGCATTCATATAAAAAGTGTAGTGAAAACTATTTTGTGATTTCATTTTGAAATTATAGCATATGACTAAGATATTTTGAATATAAGCTTGTTTGTACGCCAGGCAATCTCCAGAAACTCACTTAGTAGTTGCTTTTAAAAAGAAATTGTACCTCTATTCTGATGTTGTTGAGTTGACCAGTAAAATTAAAGGCTATAGGCCAGAAAGCCAAGTGTGAAATGAAAAGAGGAGAACCTTCCCTAACTATTTGGGTACAATAAAAAAACATGTAAGTACCAACTTAATTTTTTCAACAGTGTAATAAATCCTAATTAGATGGCAGATAAGATCTACGGAAGATAATAGAGTACCAACAATATGATAAAATTAAGACAGTGAGGGCCTGGCATGGTAGCCTAGTGGCTAAAGTCCTTGCCTTGCATGTCTACCAGGATTCATATGGGTGCCAGTTCTAATCCCGGTAGCCCTGCTTACTGTGCAGCTCCCTGCTTGTGGCCTGGGAAAGCAGTCAAGGACAGCCCAAAGCCTTGGGACCCTGCACCTGCATGGGAGACCCAGAATGGAGCTCCTGACTCCTGGCTTTGGATTGGCTCAGCTCTGGCTGTTGCGGCCAGTTGGGAAGTGAAATCATTGGACGGAAGATCTTCCTCTCTGTCTCGCTTCCTCTGTATATTTGACTTTGCAATAAAAATAAATAAATTTTTAAGAAAAAGAAGAGAATATGAAACAGTAAATGGAATAATTCAAGTGTAAAGTAAAACATCATAATTTATGAATGTGGAAGTCAATATAATTATTATATTTTGCTTTATAAACATCACATCATAGCCAAACAGGTTAACAGCATTATAAAATTACATCTACAGTTGTTTTTGCTGTTTTCGCACAACTAAATGTGTTTACTGTTACTACTTTCAACAATAACTTGTAAATTTGTTTACATAATAGTAAGTCAGTAGCTTTCCTCCAGACTTTTCTGAGTATAAGTAGCAGCAACAAAAGTAAAGTATGTGTTAAAGATTCTACTAAAGATACTTAGTCATTTGTTCATGGCCTCTACATTGAAGACTTATGGGAATTTTTCTAAGTAACTTTTGAATCCAACCCCCCCGCCCCACTAACTCTCTGTTGGAGGAAGTATCGTCTTTGAAATAATAAATAAGTTGTAGAGTAATTAATATTCTACAACTCAAAAGTGGTTCACAAGACTGTCAACATAATGACTAATTTCAGTCGTTCTCCCAAATACGTCCTGTTTCCGTTTTCTAGACGATGGTTCTTGAATATAATGAACATTTAGTTACATCAGTTTCCCATCAGTCTAGCAAAACTACGTAATGGTGACTATGTCAGCCAGTGCCCCAGGTCGGCAGGAGGGTCTTGCACCGATGGCTCCCAAGGCTTGTGCTGTGTCATTTTTCTCACCAGACCTAGTTCATGTTTGGTCTGAAGAGTCCCATTTTCTGTCTGGCCACTCGGAAGCTGGGCTTCCTATTTTTTAATGTCTGATTCCACTCTGACCATGCTCAGCTTCTCATCTGTAACCTGCTCTGTAGTGTCTTCTGTATGTTGCACGTTTAGGCAGGTGTTCAAGACCACGAAGAAGCTTTGTGTAGAATATTCTTGGCCTCTTGTGCAGGCTGGGCCGTGCAGCCACTCTCACGAGGCCAAGGGCGTTCTTCAGCAAACCCACGTGGCTGTCTTGATTGTGTTTTTTTAAACTCTGATCACTGCCGAAATTGTGACAGACGCTGGTATCAGTCTTCTTTGACCACGAATGGGTTTTGCTAATGTCTGTAAGGATGAGGAAGCTAGGTTTCCCATCAGTTTAGCAAAACTACATGTTTTTTTTTTTTAATAACATGTTCTAGTTACTAAAAGAGGGAATTTCTAGTCACATGCCAAGAGTTTATCTGGAAAAGATAAGATAATTTCCATCTTGTCTTTAACTCAAGGATTCCTGAGGATGGTCCCTGGGAATTCACCCTGCAGGGAAACAACTTTCAGGTTCTGAATTCCTTTGAGAGCCTCACTACTCTGTTATAGCAGGTTTTCCCCACACTACAGTTATTGTTAGAAGTTGCAACCTGTTTGCTTTCTTCAAAACACTTTTTGTACTTTTTTTATTTATTATTTACTTGCTTGTCTCCTGACTGGACTGTAAGTAGCACAAAAGCTTTTTTTTTTTAATACTTATTTTGAAAGAATTATAGACAGAGTGGTTGAAACAGAGAGCTCTTTCATCTGCTGATTCACTCCCCAGGTGGCCACGATGGCCCGGCTCAGACCAGGCCAAAGCTTGGGACCAGGAGCTTCTTCCAGGTCTCCCATGTGGGTGACAGAGCCCAAACACTTGGACCACCTTCTGGTGCTTTTCCCTGGCACATTAGAAGGAGCTGTGTTGCAAGCGGAACAGTTAGAACTTGAACTGGTGTCCATGTGGTGTGTAGGTGTTACAGGGGACAGCCCGGTAGCAGCCCCACACACAGGCTTTTGTTGCAATATTTTTTTTTCCCCAGTGTAGTTCTGTGTGTTTATGAAGTGCTCAGACATGATGTCTTGGGAGAGTATTTCGTGAACCCCATCTGCATACATGTGCTAAATATGATGGTGAGAAGAGGCGGGTCTCCTGCGGAGTGCTGAAGGCAGGATCATGTATGCGTCCGTCACCGCTGACGAGGGCAGTTACAGGTTCTCATGCTCCAGGAAACATAAAGTGGTGCTGATGGTCCACAGAGCCGGGGCTGCAGTGGCTGGGGAGGACTTCCCAGAGCAGGTGACATTTGATGGATGCAGAGGTATCAGAGTTGTGACATGCCTGTGACGATCTGTTTGTATCAAGGTCATTTTTTCCTTCCCCAGCATGAGTTTACTTGACTCATATAAAACCAATGCTGGGATTGAAAGTGGAATTTCTACTCAGCACAGTGCACTTTTGGCATTAAAGGCCTGGGGAATTCTCGGTATATGTAGTAAGCTCTGCATCTTTGAAAGTGTCAAGTGCTTGCAGAGGAGAAAACACAGAAAGCATAATTTTCCTTTGGAACTGTGGTGAATGGCGTTTGACAAACTTAAAATTGGCCTTAGGAGTTGATAATGCACCTGTTTCCCCACTCATCTTGTGAATAGGTGATTTCTTGCTCATTGTTTAGTAGGCTTTTGTTTTTAGGAATAATGAATTATATAAAGAATGTGAGACATCACATTGCTTTGTTTTTATTTGATATTAGTTTCTCTGTCTAAGACATGTCTTTCACATGTGTGCCTGGGTTGGTGTTCAGTCTTAGGATTGCGAGCCTTTTGCTCTCTGACGGTGTCTTAGTATTGTATCGGTGTCTGACCTGACCCCTTAGCCCCTGTGAAGCTGGAGAAGCATCTGCACAGTGCCAGATCTGAAGAAGGAAGACTGTATTATGATGGCGAATGGTATATACGCGGACAGACCATATGTATTGATAAAAAAGATGAATGTCCTACCAGGTAAGAAGCCGCCGTCATTTCAGTGTTAGAGTTTACGTCATGCTGTTCGTGGGGCTCATTACCTCCATGGTACATCACGTTGCCTGAGTCCTTTTCCAGTCGACACACGATTTGGTTACAACATGTGTGTGCTCAGGTGCTAATATGCATGCACCAGACTTCATATCAAATTCATGAATGCACTGGGACTGTTGGAAAAATACGGCTAGATAAATAATAGTCCTTTTGATTAATTCTTAACATAGAGAAATTATAATGATCCCCAAATAGTGACCTAAAGCCATCCTGTCATGAATGAACCCTTGCTCTTGGAGTGTTCATGGTAACATTTTGAATAAAAAGAATTTGTATCAGTTAAGGTAGGTAAGTAATATAAAAATTAATGAAAGCCATAATAGTAATTAAAGAAAAACTTGAGTATTGAGCATTGCCTTTTAAAAGTGTCAGTAATACTTCCAGGCTTACATGAAGTTTACACATTTATTTATATAGCATTGAAAATTTTATCCAAGGTGGCCTTTTGAAAGTATTTATGTTAATCACTGCTTTCATTTTCTCACTAGCGTCACATTTAATTCTGAATACGTTCCTAGAGTTAGAAAATACCCTTTTTCAGAGTTTAGTCTTGAACACTCATTTTCTAACTATGAGGCTTTCCATTGAATTATAGTAGCGTGCGGGAACATTGTGCATAGTAACTGTTGTCATAGACGCTCACAGATCGGTATAATAGTCCTAAATTATTCTTAGTTTATTGTTTTGGACATGTTTACTAGTGTAGTGGTTAAGAAAGATGATATAGTGTGAAAAAAAAACCCATAAATTAATTATTTTAGGAAACTTTCTATGTCAAGATTAGTCATGTCCAAAAGAACTGCTGTAAGTACAGTCAGTGGTGTGACACTGGGAATTGGGGATGAGTGTTGCAGAGATTTCCTGTAGCCAAGGCCAAGGTTGAGGGTGTAACACCACGTAAGTAAGGATTTCAAAGTGCCGTGGCGGGGTGGGGATAGAATTGGAACAGTGTGTTTTGACCAATTACATGTTGTTTAACGGTGGCAATGTGTTCTGAGAAATGCGTCCTTAGGCATTGTCATTGGGCAAGCATCTTAGAGTATGCTTACACCGAGCTGTGAGGTCTAAGGCAGACCCTTGGTGTGGTCCCTTGTACGCAGGAGACACATCCAAGGTGGGATGAAGGAGGCTGCTGTCAGTGTAGCATGGCTTCCTGTCTCACAGTAACCAAAAGGGGTTCACTGAAATATAATAATAAAAGATATAAAATAATAAAAGCAAGGATATTTCAAAAGGTTTACGGAAATAGAATGAAAGAAATAAGCTTATTTTGGTACATTTTTTAAAGATTTATGTATTGGAAAGGCGGTGACAAAGACGCAGAGAGAGAGGAAGAGGTTTTCCATCTCTTTCTTGGTTCACTCCCCAAGTGTCCACAGTAGTTAGATCTGTGTCAGGTCAAAGCCAGGAACCAGGAATGTTGGGGCCCAGGACCCCCAGGACCCCCAGGACCCCCAGGACTTGCACCATCTTCTGTAGCCTTCCCAGGCACGTTAGCAGGAAGATCGATGAAGCAAGGATTTGAACCTACGCTCTGATGTGCAATGAGGGTGACCCAAGCGGTGGCTTTACCTGGTGCCCTGCAAGTCCTGCTCCCCCAAATTTGTCAATTTGTGTGTGTGAGCGAGCTTTCAAAAGTTCATGGCAAATGTGTGTTGTGAAAACACCATGCATAGATTTCAAACTTTTTGACATCCAACTTACCCTTGAATTCCGTTTTTCAAGAACCTTTTAAAGTGCTCTTAGGCTAGATTGTTAACATGGTGTGTATTACCGAGGGCGTGTGCCACACCAAAGCTTGTACGTGCTGAGCTTGCCGGCAGCTGGTGGCGCTGAGGGTTTGCCTGCACCATCAGCATAGACCCGTGTGCAGTGCAGTGCTCTGCAGTGCAGTGCAGTGGGTGTCATCAGGCAAGAGAAAGGCTGGAGGTCCCATTGTAACCTCGCGGGGTGCCTGCTGTGCTCCCGGTCTGTCCCTCACAGAAAACTCATTATGCACTGTGTGTGACTGGAGTTCTCACAGAGAATAGATTTTACCAATGCTATTAAGCAAGGAGGCTTCCTGCTGTGTGTTGGTGAGCATCAGGTTTTTGATGGCAGTAGCGCGGACTTTTAGTGAATGGCAACCCTCCCCTAGCACCTATTGTTGCAGTCCAGCACTTTTTGTTTTTGAGCTGGTAATCTACAGTGAGGTGAGGAAATGGACACAACTGGAGGACAGCAAATTGAGTGAAATAAAGCAGATACCAAGGGCACATGCTGCCTGTCCTCCCTCGTGTATGGGAGTTAAAATTAAAAAGGGGGGAAAAAACCTGTGTCTGTATCCTGAAAGTGGCAGCTTTGTCAAATTTCTATGCTTTTGTTAAAACAGTGCTGAGCATGTTATACTGTTGTAGTCATAATGGTCTGTGATTGCTTTAAAATTTGTAGGAATGAATTGGTTATCTTTGCATTAAGTTGTTGTTCATAGCCCTTCCTATATTTCTGATAAACCAGGGTCTTTTTGATTTTTAACAAAGTAAAAATAAACAAAAAACAAAAATAAATGAGATGAATCATAGTGTAATTAATTCATTCTTTTTTTTTTTTTCCTTTTTAGTGCCATAATTACAACAATTAACCATGATGAAGTTTGGTTTAAGAGGCCTGACGGAAGCAAATCTAAGCTTTACATTTCACAGCTACAGAAAGGAAAATATTCAATTAAGCATTCGTAATCATGATTTAAGTGTTATCTAAACCTACCTTATTAGTGTTACAAAGTGTGATGTGCCATGGGAGTAAAAATCTCTGTTCAATAACTTCACATTCTCATTATACCGAGGCAGAATTTGTATTTGTAGGCAGTACTTTAAGTAGACCTCATATCGACGTTATTAGAAGAAACAGTAATAAAAGGTTAATCATGATCATTGCATTTGTTTGCTCTTAGGTCCCATGAACAGTATAGGTAGGGATTTCTTTCTAAATTCTTTTTTTAAAGGTTATACAAATATGTCTTATCTTTAGTGCACTATGATTATAAGTGTTCAAATTTTTTCCATATCTTTGTCGTTCTTTGTAAATAGGTGATAAAATGATTCCTATAAATGTTTTGTATTAGTAGATTAGTGTTGAATCACAATTGAGATTGAAACATATATATGTGAGTCTGTACATATGGGATCATCAGCTTATTTAGAACTGATGGCCTTACGTTACAATCTTGTTTTACCCAAAATGGAACTCGTGGGTTTGAGAGCTGAAAGGAGCACTTTTGTAGCATAGAGGCTTTCCTTTTCCTCTCCCTTGAGTGTGTGGTCGTTACCTGCTTTTTACAAGTTGTACTTCATTAGTAAAGTCAGTGTCACGTGATAACATACTTTGACCTGTGTTTCCTGTGACCCCGTAGAGGGCGGGCCTTTATACCTGGTATTTATGATGCGGTGTGTAAGTGGACATTAACTGGCAGTATTGTGGTGCTTGCTGTACATGTCTGATTTTTTGGAAACAGATTTTTAGGAAGTGTTTTTCCAGAGGTGAAGCTTGGTCCTTACCTGATTTGATTCCTATGGTCAAATAGACAGAGGTAGTCTCCTTGAATCTGTTCCCAACTTTATTATTTTTTATCTCTGGTGTTTCTGTACATTAAGGCCCTTCAGTGCAATTTGGAAAATGTGCTCCCGTCCCCTAGCCACATTCAACATTAACTTCCAGAGCCTCAGGAAGCGCACGAAGCGTCGAGACCCTGATTACGGCAGCACTGTGGGCGGTAGCATGTGTTCAGGGTGCAAGCAAGCCAAGTATTCCTGGTGGCCTTGTGCACTTTAATTCCCATTACAGTGAGACTTTCGAGGTCGAGGGAGAAATCCACCTGTGAACACTTAGCGCAGGAAGAGCTGCACGATTCCGTTTGTTTTCTTACCATTTACCTCTGCAAACCTCGGGTGAAGATCACTACTTCCCGGTTGCCAAATTTTAAAACATTTGACTGCTGAAATGCAACATCAGCTAAGTTATGCTACTTCGTTCTCTTTCTAATTGACCTTAGCAAATGTACAGAATGTCATAACCCAGTAGTCTTTGACAGTACTTATGTATACAATGTTTGATAAGCATTTTTAATAAGATTTGTATTTTTAAATTTAGTATATAATAAAAAGATGTGTTGAAGTGTCCTTTCTAGTGTCTTGAATTACTGATGTGTGCTCAGTTCTTTCATTCTTTAATTTTTAAAAAGAATCTTTTTATTTACTTGGAAGACAGAAACAGGGAGAGATCTTCTCTGTGCTGATTCATTCACACAAATAGCCGCAACAGTCAGTTTGGGCCAGGCTGAAGCATGGAGCCCGGGACTCCCTCAGGGCCGCCCATAGGTACTTGGGCTGCCGTCTGAGTGGGGTTAGCAGGAAGCTGGATAGGAAAAGGAGCTGGGATACTGGTATTGCTAACAGGGCTTAGTCCAGTGAGTCACAATGCTAGGCCCTCTTTTATTCTCTGTAACCTGTGCATTTCAAAAAGAATTTGAGCCACGTTACATTAATAGATGTAACCTACTAACTGTATTAATAAATGCTTGACTTATGCTTTCCTAAGCCATCCATCATCCATCTTCTGTTGTGGTATATTCAGGTGCTCCAGACTTAAGTTATCCTTATTTTACAAATAAACAAGCATAATATAATGCTGTTAAGGTTTCAGAAAGCATGCCTCACTCAGATTAAAGCACCACAAAACATATTTTGCTACTGGCATATTGCCTTCGGATGTCCTGTCATAGGTTCAATTTAGAAAAATTGGGATGTGGCAGCTGCTTCTGCTGCTGTTTATGGCCAACTTCTGTTTCTGAGTCAATTCCAGAGATTGTTTTTATCACAGTTCTCAGTTCTCTCTCTCTCTCTCTCTTTTTTTAACTTTTGGATGGAAGATCTTTTTGACTCTTCTATATGTAATTGTGATATGCCTTTCCATTACCTTTAAATAAGGTAACAGGAGCCAGTGTGGTAGCCTAGTGGCTAAATTCCTCACCTTGCATGTTCCGGTTCTAATCCTGGCTGTCCCACTTCCCATCCAGCTCCCTGTTTGTGGCCTGGGAAAGCAGTCGAGGTGGCCCACGGCCTTGGGACCCTGCATCTGCATGGGAGACGTGGAAGAGCTCCTGGCTCCTGGCTTCAGATCAGTTCAACTTAGCTCCAGCCATTGTGGCCACTTGGGGAGTGAACCAGTGGACAGGGAGAGATCTTTCTTGTCTCCTTTTCTCTCTATAAATCTGACTTTCCAATAAAAAATAAGCAAATTTTTTTTTTTTTTAATAAGGTAAAGGAGAACAAATCAGTGTATGTCAGGTGCTTAGAGCAATACTTACTACCTGATCAGTTCTATGGAAAAGCTATGTGACTGTTTTGACGTATCGCCTCTCTGTCATTCAGTCCTGTAGATCCTAACTCAGGAACGTTTCAGGACATTGCCCTCTGGGCTCCCACTGGGGCTGCCCTAGTTGGAGTCTCATGTAGTCTACTGCAGTGATTGGACTGCCTCAACTGGTCTTGTCTTTTCTCTGTATGACAGTTTTTAGAATTCTAAAGACCGGAACTGATTTTCCCCCGCTTAACCTCCTGGAGAACTCCAATTCTGTTGCCTGCCGACCACTCTAACCTACTATTTACACGAAACCATGCTTTGATCTGACTGCATGGTCCTGATGAAAACGTCTGTTTCTTGAATCCTCCGCCATTCTTGGTTCCTACTGGTTGGGTTGGGTGGGCATATGACTCGGATTGCCCCCACAATGAGAATATCTTCTGGGGAATCTTTCAAATAAACTATGGACATAGTCTCCTTTTTGCATTGAAACCGAGGCTGTTAAGTTTAGGAATTACAGGCATGTATAAGTCATGCCCCGTGGAGTGAGCTGAAGGGATGGAGAGACTGCAATTTCATAGCATTTAATTCATATCACCTACACTCCAGTCTTATTTATAATACGCAGGTCTTCTAATAATTATCCCTTTCTCTAAATTATTTTGAGCTGGTTTTATATTTTTTTAAAGATTGATTTATTTTTATTGGAAAGGCAGATAGGGTTTACAGAGGAAAGAAGAGACAGAAAGATGGTTCCATCTGCTGGTTCATTGCTCAAATGGCTGCAATGGCCGGAGCTGAGCCCATCCAAATCCAGGTGCCAGGAGCTTCTTCAGGGTCTCCCACATGGACACAGGGTCCCAGGGCTTTTGGACATCCTTTTGTTGTGCTGGATTTTGAGATCCCCAGAAAATCAAGTCTAAAGTAGGTGCTAACGCATAAAGGGCAGTTTATTCAGGTTAACCTAGGTCTCTCAGCCATCCCCCCACCCCCAGCCCAGCAGGGCTGGGTGGGGGAGGGGCAGATGCAGCAGGAACAGCAAGGCAGAAAAAAAAGCTTGAAAAAAAGGTTGAACAGCACAGGGTTCTTAAACATTTCAGGCCAATTCCATATAATTACACAGTCACGACTGGTCAGTTTGTTAACTTTCAAAAAGAGCAAGTTGGCAGGCTTCTATTGGTGGGTTTGAAGCAAGCAACTTTCAACAAGTACGAACTGATGAGCTACAGGGCAGTGGGTCTTACATGAGGGACCCCCTTCCTGAGGAGTGCTCTGCCTACGCGACCTGCCGGCTGTCACGTAGGCTGCCAGGCCTGGAGTTCACAGCCCCCAGCCAAGCAAGTAAGGCAGAAATCACAGAAGCAGAAAACACCTAGGTTCTTCACTCTTCTGCTTTCCCAGGTCACAAACAGGGAGATGGGTGGGAAGTATAGCAGATGGCACCATTATGGGATGCTGGCAGCACAGAGTAGAGGACTAGCCTGTTGAGTCATGTTGCTGCCTCCTTGTTTTTTGAAGAGTCATTTGAAAGAGGGAGCAACAGAGAGAGAACTTCCACCTGCTGGTTCACCCCCAAGATGGCCGCAATAGCCAGGGAGCAAGGAGCCAGGAGCTTCATCCAGGTCCTGCACACGGTGGCGGGGATCCTATAGTGTGGGGTTGGGATGCGGGCTGAGTGTCAGGGACTTATTCTTAGCAACAGTAGTGCTGGAAGGTTATCAAAGATAAATAGTAAAATAGTGTTTAAAGGTAAGATAAGTCAAGCAAATAATAGTAGTAAGAATACATGGGTGCTAAGCAGTGATAAGGGAGTTTCTTAACCGATAGCATAACCGCTACATTTGGCTTCTGTGTTCGTTGCTTGGCTTTGCTGCATAAAGAACAGGACTGACGCCATGATAGGCCTAAGGTCAGGGAGTAGGCCTAAGTCTCACTTCACTTCAAAGTTTCATTATCCTCAGAGTGATGGAGTGGGCAGGGGGCAACGACCTTGGAGATGGGCCAATCAAGGGGCATCCACACATCTGCAAATGGCATGTGGTCTGATCTGGTACGGGTTGCACGGGAATGTGGCCTACAGTGGTATAAGTTATACATGACCAAGATAAAGACTGCACAGCCTGCTGGAGACGTGTTGTACGTGACTAAGAGGGGGTGAAAATGGTCCGCAAGAGATAAGCAGGGTCCTTGTCAAGATGCTACTGCGTTGGATGAGACTCGGACCCTAGCTCGAGCTGGCAATTAAGTTTCTTTGCTATTGCATTGTTGCATGTGGAACTTGTCTGTCCGTGGTTCGGGGGCCTTTTGGACCTAACAGTCCAAACGCTTTGGCCATCTTCCTCAGCTTTTTCCAGGCCATTAGCAGAGTTGAATTGGAAGTGGAGCAGCCAGAAGATGAACTGACACTCTATGGGATGCCTGAGCTCCAGATGGCTGTGCCGCAATGCCAACCCCTGGGTCTTAGATTCTTGTAACATTTATAGTGATCAGCAGACTTCCTGTTTTTGTTGATTTTCTTTGTGGGAAATTGCCCCTGGGTCTCTGCCTGCTATCCGGTGGGCATTACCGAGGGCTTATCTGCCCTGGTTTAAGGTGTAACTTCCAACCCTGTATACCTCCGATGTGATTGGAAGGTCAACTACCTGAAAACCCCTCCCTTACCCTAGACCTTTATAAACCTGGAATTTGAGCTGAATTAAACGGACTGTCCTCACCAGTGTGTCCCTGGTGGTTCTTATGGCCAGAGAGCACCGTTGCCTTACCCTCGGTGGCCTTGGGGCCTGCTGGCAGGACACTAAACCCTGAGCTTCTTTCTTGCAACTCATAACAAAAATTTCTAATTTCACTACAATTCTAGGAAACATAAGGCTATCATTTAGTTGCAAATGCACCTGCGAGAAAGAAAAAGCTGTTCCTGACCCCTCAGCAGCAGCCTGGCCCCCCCAACTAGGCCTCAGTGTCCTGTTACACAGCAGCCTCAGCAGGGTACCCTGTGACTGTGATGCT